CTAATTGATTACACATTGTGAAATAAATGAGTAAAACAATTCCAGTTACTGAAATTCTCTAATAGTTTTAACATAAAAGTTGCAAATAGAACTTAATACATTTTATCTTATGACTGGAGTGTCATGAAGGTTTTATAAATCCTCATCATATGCCTATATGTTACCATTTAATATAGTTTTTCAAGAAGAAATATGCAAAAACAAATCGAAATAGTTACATAATACTATAGAGCCTAAATGTACAAGAATTACATACGTAATTAAACGAGTACATGAAAATAAATGATGCTACTCACACAAGAGAGAGAAGGCATAAAATTCAGGAAATAAACACTAATCTTATCTAGTTAATGACATGAAATACTTCAACAGGCAAAGATTATCATTTGTCCAATGAAGCCAGTCATTTTTCAGAATGCATTTAGTTTCCCTTAGTAAATTCTTCTTTCTTAACCATTTCATTATAATTTCTTAGTCAAGTTTACTTAAAGTTGTATGTACCATTGAAATTAATCAGTCTCCTATTGGCCTATGTGCATCCTGTGCGGACGAAATGCGAGTTCTGATTTCCACTGCTAGGCAACATCCATCTTTGCTTTACATTTATGCAAAATTTGCTATTTCCATAGTCACCAAGTGGAGCATTTGTTTTCATCAGCTTAAATTTACAATTAGCCTCATTTTAATTATATACTTTTCTAAATTGTATAGTACATTTGATACAAGGTTTCCAATGTAATAAGTTATCGTAAGTTAAAAAAAATATGATATTGACCGCTGTGATATTTTTCTGGTTAGCGTTTTTTAGCGAGTTACAAATGTCAAGACAGTTCTACTGTATGGGGCGGAAACCTGGAGAACTACGAAAGCCATCATCCAGAAGATACAAGTGTTTATTAACAGTTGTCTACGCAAAATACTTCGGATACGTTGGCCAAAGACTATCAGCAACAACCTATTGTGGGAGAGAACAAACCGGATCCCAGTGGAGGAAGGAATCAGGAAGAAGCGCTGGAAGTGGATAGGATACACATTGAGGAAAGAACCCATCTGTGTCACAAGACAAGCCCTTACATGGAATCCTCAAGGCCAAAAGAGAAGCGGAAGAACAAAGAACACATTACACCGAGAAATGGAGACAGACATGAGGAAAATGAACAAAAATTGGATAGAACTAGAAAGAAAGGCCCAGGACAGAGTGGGTCGGAGAATGCTGGTCGGCGGCCTATACTCCATTACGAGTAACAGGCGTAAGTAAGTAAGCAATTAAGTAACCGCTGTGATAATTCCACATGAAATTCACAGTATTTATAGCCTATCGATTGATGGTAAGCTTTCCACATTATCATGTTAATACACCGGATTGTAAACTGACACAATTATTGAATTAAAAATAAATCTAACTCGGAAAAATCAATTACAGAGTATGCAAAGTTAAAATATATTTAACCAAGTGATTTGAATAGTCTACTTGTGAGAAGTTTAAGATAGATAGTGACTAACTGTGGAATCCAGCACACGCATTTCGTCCTATTTAGTACCTGTCAGCTAACGAACATTTGCTTATAAAGCTTGTGATTTAACATAATATCAAGGTAGTTCGCACAGAATACACATATGCCTACAAGAGGCTGATCAATGACAGTTCGATACAACAATGAAAAGATATAAGTAAACAATACTAAGATCAAGATAGTGTTTTCAGGCATTCGCAACTATTCCTTAATATCTCACTGGTTGAAATCATGAGTCAATTGAAGCTAGACCATCATTGAAAACCCGAAAGTACTGGACGGCCGTTTCGTTCTAGTATGAGACTCCTCAGTAGTGCACATCCACGATCTCGCCCCCCCCCCGCGAGACTCGAACCGAGGACCTATCAGTCTCACACCAGGCGCTTAACCAACTAGTCCACTGGGGCGGTATCCAACGGTGTTACTGTCTAACTTCAACAAATTCCTTAATAATATCATCAATTTTAATAGCAAATAGACTTCACTAGATATTGTATATATGATGTTTAAAACAGAGAAAAAAAGAAAACTGAAATTGATTTTTACCAAAGTTTTATGTAATTACACGTTTGAAAAGGAATGAATATCACTGTTAAGTAGAAATACGTTCTCATAACAGTTTCATTTATCGAACTGATTTATTTTGTTTTTAAATCAACAAATATATACTTCCCTCTAATAAAAAAAATACATAAATCACTTAACTGCTTCTATGTACATCGATGCTCAATAAACAATCCTCAAAAATGATATCTGTGGTTGTTAATTGTTTATTAAAATGATAGTATGAGCTCAGTTGTTAAAATACCATTTATGAACATTGAGTGAAATATGTAACATTCTAGTTGATGTACATATATGTACTTACTTACTTATTTACTTACACCTGTTACCCCTCATAGAAGAGCATTAACCACCACCTCTCAGCATTCTTCATTTTAACTCTATCCTAGGATACATATACATGTCCACCCCTCCCACATAAAAATCTATTGCATTATCAACACAATACAAACATATTATGATAGAAGAAGTTATTTCATGATAATAATGATGTAATGAAATCGGTCAGAAGTTTATTCCTTAAAATTGAATACATTTTAGAAAATTAAGTAACTAATCATCTAAATTACCCTAAGAAATCCAATCCCCTTTTTATATATAAATAATCTCAATTATAATATAGTAATGGAACTATTCAAGTGTAAAGTCATCTATAGTAAGGTCATATCTTGTTGAAACAATAAGGAAAAATCAATTAGATTTAATATACCTAAAGGGAAAATTCTCATTACAGAAAACTACAAGTATATTAACAAGAAAATATCCATGTTAATAAAGCTTTCTTTAAATTCTACAGTTAGTATGATGGAGTTTTGGTCTCTGAACTGGACAGTTTGGTCGTGGAGCTTTCGTCGTTCTTCTGAACGATCCATTCAGCACAGAGAACGAAACACCATCAAAATTATCCACCTGAGCTACAAAACTTGTCCACCATTCTACAGTTATGTATGTAACGCCGACTTCGCTGGCTTGGAGATGGTCTACGAATGTCGTCCCAGAGAATCTCACGTCGTGGATTATTTGCCGACTCTGGGACTGGTTGGAAGAAGCGGAGAGGCAGTCAGTGTATAATATAGTGCCGTGGTATGAAGGAAAGCTGCAAACAGCTGGCTTCTGTTGGTTTTTCTCGACTCCTTCGTTGGGGTTCGAGAGATGGTGCTACACAGTGGCTAGAGACGTTATCAGATATGGCTCAGGATAGAAACCAGTGGCGATCCTGCTGTAACCTTCTTTTACTTTCTTCATAAAAAGTGGTTGTAACTTCCTTAACTGAAAGAACTCTTTCTGGTTGTACCTTTCTGTTTCCCACATTATTACTATTATTATTATACTACCTTACACTAATCTGTTCGTTGTTGTTCTTTTTTATATCTTCGAATTCTCATTGTTTTGTGTGGCGAATATATATTTGGTGCCCTCTTGTAGCCAATATTTATGTGTTCAAATAAATAATAAATAAAATAATAATGGTTTACTAATGGATGTATAAGAATAATGAGGAAGGAATAGAGAAATTGATAGATTATAAAGAATAGAAAAGGAGATTATGATTATGATAAAATGATAGATTAAATATACTATTTCTGTATACACTGTCTAGATTTCAATCGGTTCATCGGTATTATATCTTCTGTACATAATTTTTTTAAAATTTTTAGTTCTTTCAAACCAGTTCCTTGAATTGAATGAATGATTTGATGAAAGAGATTCGTTAGAATAAACTAGGTGTTTTAAAGGTTGAACTATTAAACTAGTTATTGCAGTTCTTTAGATAGTCATAAAAGGTAACGTTAGGAGATGTTTTTTTATATTGAAGTTCTTGTATATAATTAATTATCTTTACAATAACTATATAATTTACTCATATGCTTTTAGAAAGAATGTACAGTTTATCCGTATACTGCATAATAAAAAACTCAATCGGAAAGAGTACACTGGTCTTTATCTAATAAAGTGATGAGCAACTGGATTCCTACACATGAAATATTGTATAAGTTATGTAATATCCAAAGAATTGAAAAGACTAGAATGCTCTGTAAATATTTGAAGTCGTTTTTTTGGATATTATGTAATAATTTCAATGGTTGAGATCATGAGACAATTAAAGCTAGACCAACATGGAAAACCTGGAAGCACTGGACAGACGTTTCGTCCTGCTGAGGAGTACCACAATATTAAAGACCAAAAATTCAATGTACTAACTTGATTTCACAATAATCTGATTTAATTTTAGTTCATTAGGTTCTCATCAACTGTTTACAACTTATAATATTTTAATATGAAAATTATCATAAATATTGGCGTACTTAAAATTTATGAAGATGATTAGAGATAAATATGTCTATCACAGAAATCAACAAACTGTATCACGTGGCAAGCCCTCACTTGGAATTGTGAAGGGAAACAGAAAAGAGGAAAGTCAAAGAACAGATTACGTTGGAAAATAAAAACAGATCTGAAAAGGATGAATAACAACTAGAAACACCTGGAAAGGATTGTCCAGGATAAGGTTAGATGGAGAGTGAATGTGGGCGGCCTATGCTCCTTCACGAGGAATAACAGGCGTAAGATGTAAAGAAGACTTCCAATAGAGTTGATTACATCATTTTCATTTTTATTTAATTCATAATTTCTTCATTAACAACATTAATCTGTTTTTAGTTGCTTCATTACACAATCATTTCATATTGGTTAACTTTATAGTTTCTAATCACTAGTTGAATGTTCTGGAATTTTCTCTCTAACACTATAAATCTGAAACACTATCAATAATAACTCTTAGCAACTAATGAGAACCTAATGAAATAAAAATCAATTCATATTTATCTATACTAATCCTTGTTCTAGCTCTCTTTAACATAAATATTTAAAGGGTACTATATGTATATGCACACTTTGTATTGATAAATTATATTCACTTACCAGTAGGATAACGTGTATTATTTACTTCATTATTTTGATGAATTCTAGGTAATCTACCTGGTGATCGAAATGTTTGATTGAAATTCTCTCCAACATGATCAAAAAAATTTCTTATATTTGCTAAAATTGACATAATTCATTAATGAGATAATTCTATTGTAGTGTATTGTAAGTTTTGTATGACAATAATGAAATACTTTAGGAGTGTATTAATTAAGGTTATGAAAAGTAAACAGTTAGTAACTAGTTCTAATCATTTATATGTTTACTAATATGAGACTGTTCTGTTCTGCTTTTTTTCCCCTCCCCTTATTCCTATAATTTGAAGGAGTAATAATTTCTTGAATGTTTATTGGTTATTTTGTTATGTCTGTAAATTGATGGATCAGTTGTAGATATGTATATAGATACTTTTTTCTTTTTAACTAAATCTATTCAATGTGTAAGTGTTATAGGTCATAAAACTAACAATATCATTATTTTATAACTGAACTGAATATTATAATTGGTTAAGGGGGGGGGGGAAGGAGAATTAACAATTCACTGTTCCAGATTGACTAAAGCAAAACGATTTCGGTTACATGTTAGGATAGTAGTAGTAGTAGTAGTAGTAGTACTAGTAGTAGTAGTAGTACTAGTAGTATAAATTGCTCTCACTTTATATCTAATTGTTTGTTTTGTATAGTTGAAGGATAAACTTAATTAAAACAGTGTGTTCTGTTCTTTTTTTTTTCTTTTAAAACCTGTCAAACTTTCAGAATATGTCTATTGAGTTTAACAGTCAACAATAGCCAATCATGACAGAGGTTAACAGGATAAGATATGAGTTTGAACTTTTTAAATTCTAATTGAAGTTTGTGCAATTGATGTTGTTCAAAAGAACGATGAAAGTTCCACAACTAAACCATCCAGTTCAAAGAGCAGAACTTCACCAAAATTATCTATCTTAGATGCGAATCTCCACCATCTCAAAATAGATATTTATCTTTAAAATTTGATGTTGCATGAAAGTAACAGATAAATGATTGTCAAAATAAGTGGATCGACTTTGTCGTTTGTAAACCATTCCTATCAAGACTAACTGTTTGTTGAAGAGGTAAAAAATTTTTGCAAATGTAGATATAAGTTTTTAAGATGTTTCATTCTTTGAACTGGATGGCATAATCATGAAACTTTCAAGAACACCTTGAACGACTTAATGGTCAGCCGACTATTATAGTTTAGCTGAATAGGTTATTTGAAGATTCACTTACTTTTCAGGTTGTACACGTTACAGGTTGACTCTTGATAAGGTCATGAGTTTCCACTGCCGAATAGTTCTATACTTGGACGAGATAGCTGTCTATGGCTCTTTGGCTTTCAACGATACACAAAGATAATTCTTTGACCATTATACCCTGCATATTATTGAAATTTTACTTCAAAGATTCACTGCAACTTTGAAATCAAATAAGAGCATTAAATAATTGTTTTCTATAGTACAACAATGAATGACAGTTGGACTCATGATACTTTCAGAAATTGAACGCGTAATTTTAAGTTCTCACAGTTAGTGAATAACTTTTAGATCATTGATTTGATATCTTCTGGCTGTTTCCTATCGTTAATTTTGGTTAATTTGTGATAATGCACAATAGTCACCTTTTGCAAACAGTCATACAATTTAATTTCTGACGTAGTTGAACTTCATCGGTCACAGCCCTCTAGAACCTCAAAACTACTTCTCAAAGTTGTTCACTATTGAATGCTAGTTATTAATATTATTTTATCATCTTTTCATGTTACCCATATTAAAAACAAATTATCAAACACCTGTAACCGACAGACCCATGGATTCAAAAAGGCCACGAGTGACTTGGTTAGAATAGAATAAATGAATTATTCCATAGCATAAATTTACTGAGATGGAGAAATATGAACTATTAAGTATTAAATTAATGAATAAATGGTAAGATACCTACTACAAGACATGAATAGATAAATTATCTTGCCTGTATACCAGTGAGTTCTATCTAAGGCTTAATAGTGTACACTGTTTCTCTAAATAGTACCAACTTATAATGATGTCACCGTCAGAATATGTATTTCTCTTTATAGAATTAAGGAATTGACAATCAAAACACTTAGAAATTTACTTTACCGTATTATGATCGAGGTAGTTGTTTTGATTTCATGCAAAAAGTTATCCCTAAATTTCAATTGTCATAAATGATAACATTTAGTGAATTGAATTTTATATAAAGTATACATGAACTTATACTTTAATGTGCGCTACTGATGTCGATAGATATAAGTAGTATACGTTATCAATCGAAAGTGTAATTCCTGGTGGAAGAAAACAGGACGAGAACAGTGAATGATTTCTGTGAAAATGAAGGAACAGTGAAGTGTGAAACGATTAATTGAGATTTTGCAAATGAAGTATTTGCTGTAGGTTTCTCAAATTTTACTAAGAGATTCTGTAATTTTGTGTTCAGATGCATTCGGTTGTCCTCACTTGTGTTCTCGTTCACTGCAATACTAAGCTGTCTTTCATAATTATGTTTTCAATCCGAAGTAAATAGATATGCCTGTCAATATGTAATTAATTTTGATTAAATGTAACGGTAGATAGTAACTCACTGATGACAAAGGTGAATGTTGACGCGATTTTGTGGGTTGGTTGAAGTTAAACATTAACACCATTGGATGCCGGCTCAGTGGTTTAGTGGTTGAGTGTTCTCGCACGAGACTGATAGATCCTGTGTTCGAATCTTGCGGGGGACGGAGTCGTGGATGCGCACTGCTGAGGAGTTCCACAATAGAACGAAACGGCTATCCAGTGCCTCCAGGTTTTCCATAGTGGTCTAGCTTCAACTGATTCATGATCTTAACCATTGAAATTACCATAATATCCACAAAACTCATCCGATATTAAATTGATTGGTTGTAGGTTAATTGAGTAATTTGAATTCTTTAAGTAATTTCTAATAATTTACAATTAATCATATTCATTTCATGTAAGATGGATAAACTTATATCAAATAGCAATATTCTTTCTGTTAACTACCGAATTAAGTCCTGCTCAGTGTTCGAGTAGGTTAAGCATTTCCGAGCGAGACCAAAGGCCCTGGGTTCGAATCTTGCAGGGGGCGGGGTCGTGGATGCGCACTGCTGAGGAGTTCCACAATAGAACGAACTGGCCGTTCAGTGCTTTCAGATTTCCACCGGTGGTCTACCATCAATCAGTTCATGATCTCAACCAAAAACTTAATAATCTCCAAAACACCTATACTAGTAAATGTATACAACTTTAAATTTGACGTAATGTATATTGAGTCCAATTCCCTGTTAATAAACTAGAAGTAAGGTATAGTAAAGTATTATAATTAATAAGCTATAAATAGGATAAAACGAACTAACAGTTTGATTATGAATTGTTACCTTTTATCTTTAAAATAACAAATTATCAGAATTAACTACATTATCCTTGTTTTACAGGATCATAATATTTCCTAGTGTTTATTTGAACATTATCACTAATACCATGGTAACTAATAATAAACATGTACAACTTATCATCTGTTTGTAATAATTATAAAAATACAAAAAAAACTTTTTTTTTCAAATGTAGATAATGTGAATATTCTCATCAAAAAAGTAAATCATTCGATTATTGATCCACTTCCTCCTTTTTTTTCTCTATATTTTTTCTTGTTACTTTTTATTACATAAAAATAAAATTTGGTTCTCATTTTATGAGTGAAAAAAAAACAAAAAAAAACAAACAAACAAGCGGACGAACATAGAAACCGTGAAAACAAAATTTTTCTGTACAAGATTTTCATGATTTCAACTATTGAAATTTCCACACAAAAAAAATCTACACAAAACCCCTTCTAAGAATCTTTTTTTATTGTCGGAAAATATGAACCGATTTAAGTTAGATCATGGTTGAAGAACTAAGAGAAAAAAACTAGATAGTTATTTCATTGTAGTGTAATGGTTTTACTTCGTTCATTGATCACCTCGATAACCTGTTATCATATAAATTGCAACGATGACTTAAAATCAGCAGGCAATAGGATGCGGCAACTATAATTTGTTAGAAGATAGCATAGATCATAAAGATATAAGCATACCGAGCGAATTTGAAGCGATGAGGTGAAGAAGTATATGCGAGCAATTACGTAGGCAAATTTATAGTCAGATTGCATAAGGACGCAGTAAGGCAAGGCAAGGACTAATAATAAGATTTGTGTACATATATATATATGAGGAGCGGAATGAATTATCTAGTGATATTTAAGTGATCAAGATTGTAGCTAGAATCCGTCATGTGCTCTAGTGATCATAACGGTACAAATAAATATACGAATTGTTAATATTCAAATAATATTGTCTGTTAAGTTAATATAAAGGATTTAACCAAAATTCACCATAATCGAAATCGGCTGTAGAATAGTTGCTATAGTAGAATAAAACTCTTCTGCTGTGCATATCCTTAACTTTAATACAAGAAATCAAACTCAAAACCTTCGTTGTTGTGTTTAAACAACTAACCTCTAAACCATTTAGCTGGTCTAATTTTAACGACGTCCTACTTTTCGTAACAAAAACTAAGTGACATGTAAATACACAAGGTATTCAATGCCCTCAAATGCACTGGTACGCCAAGGGTGGTGAAAATCACCTCTATCTCTCGAAATGTTCTTTTATAGGCACGCATATACAGCCACTGTCAGGGGAGTCCTACTCACTGCCTTCTCGCGGCGAGGGTGTTGATTACAAAACTGAGAGAACAAAAAGTGAATATCCAGCACTTTAACCGGGTTGCTGGACACGGAGGGGCCACCTAGGGGCGTTGGAAAACCCTGATCCCAAACCAATGGTGCACATGGGCTCCAGTATCCTGAGTGAACAAATGGCGTATGAACCTATTGTTGGTCACCGGCTACCATGGGACTGAATCTCCTTATGTTGCTCTACTGCCTTGTGCATCAGAATTTTAGTTCGAAGGCTCCGGGTGTGGCTTCCTCAAAAAACCACCTGCTTCGTTTTGGTCACTCTGGCAGTATCACAGCCCATAAACAAATCAAATGACTTGTGTGGTGCATATGTATTCGGTGACCCTTTGTACCATTATTTATGTAT